TGAGAAACAGATAAAGAACCTGCCACTATTAAAAATACAACCCTCTTTGGTATGAAATGAAACCAGAGACTGTAAAGCATCCCAAATTCAGATCCCTGAGCATCTCGGTGGAAACCCACAGCGGGTCTAGAGGTGCCCCAGCATCTCCATATGGACAGCGACACAAAGGAAATGACACAAAACCTCCTTAAAAAAACAAGGTTAAAAATTAACCCCAGGCCCAAAAAAGTGCCTGGTCCAGGATAAGCTGCACAACCTTTATATATGGTTTTCAAATATGCTATTTTTCCACCAAGACGTACATTCTGCAATGAAGATATATGTTCAACAGCTATTCAGTATTTTCTGCATCTTTTATGCAAGGCCTATTCAGTTACACTGTATTTCCTGCTCCTTATTGAGTTCTTCAGTGGCTTTCCTATAGTTGTAACTTTACTAAGGAATCTTTACAATATCCCTACAAGACAAATAAGTATCATCCTCCTCTCTCATTCAGGACTTTGAAATACAAAAGACCAAATGTTTCAAGTAATTTTTGGTCACCCAATTTGAGGTATCTGGCACCTGGCTTAATGGAGTTATTTGCATCTTGTTGCCTTTTCTCCCTTGGCAAACTGCCTTCACCAACACAGCTATAAGGCAGCCAGCTGGTATTTTTTATATAAACCAGCAAGTCTGCCTAAAGACTGGTATCTGCTAGTATCAAGCATTACAGCTACTGGGGTATAGCCATCTCTTCTCCCATAACCCATCTCTACAACACATCCGTCCATCACTGGCTTCTCTCCAGTACACAGCCCAAGACAGATCTATCGCCTGCGCTGAGTAGGGCCCCATGGGGCTGGGGTTTCATTACACATTCGTGCAAAGGAGACAGACTAAGAATGTACAGACAGTCTGAGGGATGGTAGGAAGAGAGCTTTGGATATGGGGATTTTTTTGTAGAGCACTTCATTCCAATACCACAAAAGTAATCCTCTAACAGACTGATTAGTACGTATCTACAACATTTCAGAAACAGAATTTACCTAGAACAACATTCCTTAAAATAGAAAGCAGAGCATCAAGTAACTGCATCTGTTTAAAGATTAATTACTTTGCTGGCTGCCAAGCATTAACAGTTCTGCCATTTAAGTTATCCCAGCTAGTATCACAGCTCTCATGTCTTTAAGTGTCCCTCCATTTCAGTCACACATACATTCCATTTCCTTCCATGCTTCAATTTCCAATGTGAAACCACCAAAATCCAACCCAAAGTGCAAAACTGCACAAGACCAGAAATGCTGTTTCAAAATGTGCATACATAACCAGCCAGCAGGATGGGCGAGCCTTCCTGGGCTTGTGCTAGAAGGGACTGAAGCTCAGTGATGAATAAGACAGATCTTAGCAATAACTACCACCCCCCCCTCCCCCCCATAAAAAATCCAGAGAGTTTTTGGTATTAAAAATAATTGACTGCTTCCTTGTTTGATTTTTCTCCACTCAATGCTCACTCATCATGGCATAATACATATGCAAAAGATCAACATATGACATTACAGTCTGTAAACCACATGAAACTGTCATGACCAAAACCAATGTTAACACCTAATGAACATAATAAAAGTGCATTATTTGTATATTAGCGATTACCTGCCCACTTTGCACGGAATTCTTTGCAAGGAAGGCATATTTCTGTATCTAAAAAAGTAGGTTTATGGCCAACTGCCTATAAACGGTTGTGGAGGTTAAGCAGGCAGCAGAGGTTAGCTGGCCAGCCAAGAACAGAACAGCTCCTAGAGAGCAATCGGCACGTGGCAGGGAGAATCCCGCCTGGAATGACATATGTAAAGTACTGCCTTCTCCCCACACTCGTACCTAACGCATTAGGTGAATAATCGCAGTTGTGGTAAGAACACAACCTCCTGCTAGTGCCCCGCAAGTTGGGGGGGGGGGGGCAAGAGCGCGGCTCGCTCCGCTCCATTCCCGGCGACGGGCACGGCGCTGGCCGAGGCGGGCTCTCTCCGCCCGGGGGCCGGCAGCCGCGGCGCGGCGGGCCCCGCTGCGGGCCGCCATGGGGAAGGGAGGCGGGCGCTGGCCTGCGCTGGGGGAGGGGAGGGCGGAGGCGGCGGCCAGGCCGCGAGGAGGCGGAGGAAGAGGCCTGCTCCCGCCGGGGAGAGACAGAGAGAGGGAGGGGAAGGCCCGCACTCACTCGGGGGGGAAGAGGCGCAGCTCCTCGATCTTCCCGAGGAAGCCGAAGAGCGTCCGCATCTGCTCGGAGCTAGCGCTGGGGGAGACGTTAGTGACCTGGATCACGTCGGTGCCACTGCTGGAAGCCATCGCGCCGCCGCTACAGACACAGCGGGGATGGGGAAAGGAAGAAAGGGGAAGAGCGTGTTATGCCCCAGCAGCCACTCGCTGCCGCGCCCCGAGTCCGGCCCGGCCCGGCCCCGCCACCGCCGCTCAGGACCCGCCGCTGCCTCACCAGCCTGCCTGGGCCGCAGTATCCCACAATGCACCGCCGCTGCACCCCCCCACGCCCCACCGCGCAGGCGCATTGCCCCCGGCCCGCGCCGTGCGCAGCGCCACCGCGCAGGCGCGTGTCCCCGGCCTCCCTCGGGAGCGCGCGGGGCGGGAGGGCGCATGCGTAGACCGGTGGCGGCGGGAAAGGCCGCTGCCTCAGCGGCTTTGAGGGAGCTCTCTGGGCTCTTACGGGGACAGGGAGCGTTCAACATCGCCTGTCCCATGTGCCGGTAACACAGCAGCTCATCCAGATGGCTCCCCAGCTTCCAGAGCGCTCCGGGTTAGTCCTCAGAGGAGCTGGTCTGTCTCGGAGGCTGCTGTGTTGCTAAGTGCGCTGCACAAGGTGTTCCAGATGGGCTTGGTAATGCTGCTTGTTCCTTCAGAGCTGTAAGCGTAAAACTGACATGACTTTGACAGGCTAGGTCAATCGGCACATGAATTGTATTCACATGGAGATGAGTGGAATAGGTGTTTTGTTGCCTGGCTTCACTGAGATGAACGTGCTTTGAGTGCTCTGTGTTCTGTTCTAGCAATATACTGTAAATAAAACAATCATAGAACCATGGAATGGTTTGGGTTGGAAGAGAGCTTAAAGCTCATTGTCGTGATTTAAGCTCAGCTGTAAATCATGCCATCGCTCTCTCACTCCCCCCTTTCCCCTGCTCCCCGAGGGATAAGAATGTAACTCCCACAGGTTGAGATCAGAACAGTCCAGAAACTAAGGTATAACACAAACCACTGCTGCTACCACCAATGATAATAATGACAAGGGGAGTAACAACGGAAGAGAATACAACCGCTCACCACCCGTCAACCGATACCCAGCCCAACCCCAGCAATGAACTAGCCTTTCCAGGTAACTCTCAGTTTACATCCTGGGCATGACGTGCTGTGGTATGGAATACCTCTTTGGTCAGTTTGGGTCAGGTCCTGTCTCTGCTTCCTCCCAGCTTCCCCTGCTCCCTGGCAGAGCATGAGGCTCACAAAGTCCTTGGTCAGAGTAAACCTTACTGAGCAGCAACTAAAACCATCGTTGTTATCAGCACTGTTCCCAGGCTGAAAGTCAAAACCACAGCACTGCACCAGCTACTGAGAAGGACAAAAAGTGACTGCTGCTGCTGATCCCAGGACACTCATCCAGTTCCAACCCCTGCCACAGGCAGGGACACCTTCCACTAGAGCAGGTTGCTCCAATCCCCATCCAGAGGCTTGACCACTGCCAGCGATGGTTACTTGAAATCTTCATACAAAACTGGGGTTTCCAGCTGTGTTTTATTTTAATACTCAGATGAAAGAGAGAGGAGACAGAAAAAGGGAATTACAGAGCAGCAGTAGAAAGCTAATGAGGCCAAAACCCTTCCTCAAGTGTTAGCGCCTGAAGCAGGACAGTTTCTTGAGTCACATACTTATTTACCTAACGTATTTGGTCCTTAGCTAGTTACTTTTATCTTGTTTGGCACTGTTATTAGTTTTTTTCAAAAAGGGCAGTGTGGAACACAAATGTTTGGAACACAAACCTTGTGTTTGTGAAAAATGAGAAGTAGAAAGAGCCACAGCTAAATTCTCTAGTGATTGAGGTGGAGACACTCCTTTCCCATCCTTCCCACCAGGAGAAGCTGGTGGGATCGGGAAATATCGCTCCTGAGTTGTGGATAAACAGCAGACACAGGTCCCTGTTAACCTCTAGCATTGGTAGGATTGTTCAGTCTAATGTTTCTATTCAGTTTGCAAGCTGTGGACTAAAGGGGAAATGGAAAACAGCAAGTTGATAAAAAAGTGCCATATAATCACAATACTTGCTGTGCCATCTCTTGAATCACTCCACAAGCTCAGAGGTGGGGTGTTCAGCTGGACCAGGGTCTTTTTTGACCTGTGGGTGTGATTTTTAGTATTATAATGAAGACAGTTCACTTCAGGACACCTTAAAAGTCAGTTTCTTTGCCAAGCTGGTTAATCAAACAGTCACTTTGCCAAGCTGTCAGGTAACTCATTCTTGGTATAATCCATCCTGGATGTTCTCCTTTGATCTTATGAACAGAATCAAGTCCATGTTCAGGATCCTAATATGTACATTAACAATACCAGCGGCGGATGTACAGTATACATCACTGCTGTTGAGGGGACGGGATTTCTTTGTCATCCCACGTGTTGGAGGGAGCCACGGACAGAACTTCATGTCGATCTGGAGGATGGAAACCACACAGGGCAGCGCTGAGGCCAGCCTGGTGTGGAAATGGCGGCGCTGTTCTCGCAGGGGGCGACAGCCCGGTTGCGGGGCTTAGGGGCAGCCGGCACTCTGGGCCCCGCTGCCCCCCGGGACGGGCTGAGCGCCCGCGGGCCGGCCCCGCTCCGTGTCCGGCACCATTTCGACGCCGTGCCCGGAACGCGCGCGGCCGGCGGCAAATGGCGGCGCCCGGAGCCGGGACATCGCGGGGCGACTGCCGGAGCCGCGGCCCCTCCCGAGGGCCCCCGCCAGGCCCCGCCTGTTCAGCGGCGCTGGGGAGGTGCCGGCGCGGCCCCGGCGAGGGATGGCGGCGGCGCGGAGAGCGCGGGCTGCGGACCCCCGCGCTGTGTTCATGCGGGAGGCGGCGGAGCCGGGCCCCGCCGTGCCGCAGGGTCTGATCCGGGCGGCTCGGAAGAGCGGGCAGCTGAACCTGTCGGGCCGGAACCTCAGTGAGGGTGAGCGCGGGCAGCCGGCCCCATCAGCCTGGGGCGGCTCAGCGCCTTGCGGCGGGATCGCAGCGCTCCTTGTTCTCCCTGTAGCGGGCGGTTCCAGCCCTCCGTCCCGCGCCTCAGCCGCGCCGAGCCGGGGCTGCTGTCTCACTGCGGGCGGCGGAGCTGCGGGGCCTGATGCGGAGGGGTGGGAGCCCGGGGGAGAGCGGCTGCGGTTGGGCCAGGCCCTCGGCGCTTCCGAAAGCCACAGCTGTGGCTTCAGGTGCTCTGTGTGCTGGGCGATCCCGCGGGCTTGTGTCCGTCCTGTGGCTGGGTTTGCGCTAGGCGGTGCCATCCGGGCAGGACAGGAAAGATACGGAGGGAGCAACAGCAATGAATGCTTCCTGCCATCTGCAGATGAACTTAATAGATTGCCGTCACCTTGTTATTGTCAGGTCTGGTAAAACGTCTGTAGAAACCCAGTTGCCCATATGCGTGTATGAAAAGCATTATGATGGTGTAAATTTGAGAGTAAGCACCTGAAGATGTTGGTTGACACTTGTGTGTTTGTCTGTGTAGTGCCTCAGCATGTGTGGCGGATAAACTTGGATACTCCAGAGGAAGCTCGTCAGAATCTCTCTTTTGGTGCTGCGGATCGCTGGTGGGAGCAAACAGATCTGACCAAGCTGATACTGGCTTCAAACAAGCTGCAGTGTCTTTCAGAGGATGTCAAACTTCTGCCTGCACTCACTGTTCTGGATGTAAGTACAGTGATCCTATTACAGTAGGACTGTGCTCTCCCCATAGAAGGGGAAATAAACAGAGCCGTAGATAGAATCATAGAATAGTTAGGGTTGGAAAAGACTCTAAGATCATCCAGTTCCAACCTCCCTGCCATGGGCAGGGACACCTCACACTAAACCATGACACCCAAGGCTTCGTCCAACCTGGCCCTGAACACTGCCAGGGATGGAGTATTCACAACTTCCCTGGGCAACCCATTCCAGTGCCTCACCACCCTAACAGGAAAGAATTTCTTCCTTATATCCAATCTAAACTTCCCCTGTTTAAGTTTTAACCCGATCTTTGTTTTGCATTTCCCTGCAGCAGTGGATGTGTAGAATTGGCACTTGTGTATTCTCAGGATACAGAAAAGGTTGTTACAGATCACTCTTTTATCAGTTTATATGCTGATAGTGGGTGCTGTTCTGTAGAAAGATCATATCTACTCTCTTAGTTTTAATTAAGTCGAATTTTGCAACTTGGCAGTTGCAGAGCTACTGTTGGTACTTGCTTTGAGGCATGTATGTAGCTGTTACTGTGTACAAAATTACGCTGTGTTTAGGTTAGCTTGATTTGTTTCTGGGAAAGGAAACCTACATGGTACAAATTAGTAACTGTGTGCTCAAAACTTTCTTTTCCAGGTGCACGATAATCAACTGACATCCCTGCCTTCTGCTTTAGGACAGTTAGAGAACCTTCAGAAACTTGATGTCAGGTAAATTACACGTTACAAAACTGGAATGTGAGAAATACCACAGTGACTTTGACAGGGTGAATAAGAGATTGCAGGATATCAAGTTTTCTTTCAGATACTGATTTCAGATTTTCAACAAGAAAATATTAGTAGATTGAGAATTGTAAGTTTTGGATCAAAAATGATAACCTTAACTTTGTTAAAGTTTTGTTTCACTGAAATTCAAAGCCATGGTCTCACTTGGAGGGTGAAAACTGATACTTTGAATAAGCACACAAAAGCAGTATCTACATTCATTTGGTTCATTCTGGCAGCTTTGAGTATAAACATACTTTTTTTTCATGAAAAATATACATTGTAAAGAACTGTATTGTTCTCGTTCATGCTGGAAAGTTCATCATCCTCTGTTTACTGGAGTAGTTTTGTAAACTAGGGCACAAGAAGAAGGAGGGTATGCTGCCTCTCTGTGTGTGAAGTACATCAAACAAACAGAGATCCTGCTGGGATACAGCAAATTCAGATGAGGATAAAAGGAATTCTTGAAGAAGTAAATAGGATTAATTTCTCCCAGGAAACTAATCCATTGTGGAAGGCTGTGACAGTTGTAGGAGACAGATTTTTCTTCAAGGTGATGGTATCTTGAGCAGCAAGTACATGTGCAGGGTGCAGCATGGGAGTGGGTTGCAGAAGCCTTTCTCCTTCTGGATGGAATTAATAGTCTGTGCCAGCACGGAATTCCCTGTGCTGGGTGTGCTCCATGCTCTGTGCTCTAGGCTCTGAAGAGTTTGTGTTTCAACAGGCCATGGGTGCCTGAGATCACCCTGCTGATAGCAGCGACGGGTAGGATCAGGTAACAGGAGTGTCTGCAGCAGTTACTTCCTTAAAACGACTCAGTAATTGCTTTTCTCTTTGTGTTTAGCCACAACAAACTGAAAAGTATCCCAGAAGAGCTGCTGCAGCTGTCACATTTGAAGAGCCTCCTTCTTCACCACAATGAGCTGAGTGTCTTGCCAGATGGGTTTGGCCAACTTGTCAGTTTAGAGGAATTAGTAAGTTGCAGCTCTTTGAAAAATGTTTATTTGTGCAGAAGGGCTGATTTCCCCACCTTTTGTTACTGCTGATTAAAACCCTCTATGTCTAAGGCACAGAACTTTGTGAATGTTTAAGGACTTACGTAGGTTGTCAGTTTCAGTTACTACATGGTGGGTTGTTGGTTTGCTGTTTCCTTGCTTGAAACCAAGGTTTGCTCTTGGTTTGACAAATATTGTAAGAAAAATCAAATCCTTTGTGATTTCTCAGTCACAGGAGACTTGTTTCTTCTATTCACATTCCTACCAGGTTGATCCTGAATATGTCAGCCATCTCATTTTAATGTTCTGCCAGTAATTAACTTTGCAGTAGTCATACTCATGGGATATTTTAAACAACTCTATTTCTGGCCTCTTTCTCTCTCTCTCCTTTTTTAATCTTCAGGATGTGTCCAACAACCATCTCACAGACATTCCAACAAGTTTTGCTCTGCTCATTAACTTGGTGCGACTCAATCTGGCTTGTAACCAGCTCCAGAGCCTGCCTGCTGACCTCAGCGCCATGAAAAGTAAACCAGTTTCTTCAGATGCCATGCAGCCAGCTCTGTACTTGTGTTCAGAAATGTAGTGCATGTTATTCAGGCTTTAAGAAATACATGCTTAAAGAGTTACTGTGTTCTCAAGAGTATTAGTTCAGCGTGATCTAAAAAAGTCAGTTACAGCTAGTGTATATCCAGCTTGAGTCCTCTTATGGTTCGTATTTCCTGATAAATGGGGTGTGGAATGATCAGAAAGGTGTAAAGGATTAACCTAGTTCTGCTTAGAGGTTATTAGCCTTATGGCTGCAATAAGAAATCTGACTTTTTTTTTCTCTAATGCACAGTTTGAGTGGAAAATAAAGCATAAATGAGAGACAGTTAAAATTACTGGAGAGGAAAAACATAAATTGGAGTGACAAAGTTGACTTGTAACACTTGAATGTTAAATATCAAGCTGAGTAGTGGTTGATAGGAAATGCAGATATTAATAGCTGAGGCAGCTCTAGAGGAGCAGCTTTTATAAGTGCTGTAGAAATGACTTGCAGATCTTTCTGAGATGGTCTGCAATGGTTAGACCCTTTATTGACAACAGTGAGTTTTTGGCAGTGTCATTGAAAGCATTCCAGAATGTTCTGTGAAGAATAAGTGAAAAGCAGATGCCTTCGTTTCAGAAACATTGATGCTGACTGATTTGATATCTTCCAAAATTCTGTTTGACAAAATGTTCTTCTGCTTATTTTAAGCCTCAGGATATTTATGCTTCCATACAATGCAATTTTTATATTCTCTTACTTCTCTGTTTGTCACTGCACACTTCTTTCTGTAGGCTTGAGACAACTGGATTGTACTAAAAACTACCTGGAAACGGTACCTCCTAAACTTGCAACTATGGCATCTTTGGAACAACTTTATCTGAGAAAGAATAAACTGCGTTCCTTACCAGAATTTCCCTCCTGTGAGTTACTGAAGGTAAGGTCTGAAATGGCTGGTATGCTGTATTTTGGTACAGAAAAAAGGGTATTTTCTGTAAACTTAAAATAACAACTTAAACACAAATTCTTGTGAAGTGCTATGATCAAAAGTTGTGTTTAAAACTCTGTTTAATACACCCCTGTCTGCAGTTACTCTTATAGTCCATATTGGTCAATCCTAAGATCATGTGAGAGACAAATTTGCAGCATTACTCTTCAGATTTGGGAAAGAAAAGAAATATTTAGAAGAGGAATGACTGAAAACTGGATCTAGTGTTGTCTTGCTACAGTTATTTTTTCTCTCTAGGAACATTTTCTAGATAAATTTACTTTGTTCATGATCGTTTTCTTCCTTTGTAACTGCAGAGAAAGTATACTTTTTATTTCTCCTTTTAGGATAATCAGATCTTCTGATATTTTGCAGTCTTAATTCCCAGTATGTTTAAAATTGAAAATTGCCTGTTTCAGAACATCAGAAGTTGGTTACTCAACTAATAATAGCAAAGTGAATGGGCTAAATGAATGCCTGTACCACTGCGTTGTTCCCAATGCCAACATCAATCAAAGAGTGCACATGCTTTAGTTGTGCATAACTCTGAACTCAGTAGTTAAAATTCCAAGCTTTTTCAGCATTTTATAACAAAATTATTCCCAATTACATTTCCAGTAGGAAGAGGGGGAGCTACCCTCTCAACTTCCTGTAACTTGGAAATTAAGAAACTTCTCGAATAAAGGCATTGTCAAGTTCTTGAAGATGGGGCAGATTTACTCCTAGCTTGGAACTCAAAGCTGAGGGTTCCACAGTGGTGACAAAAAGCTAAGTTCAGACTAGTGTGCCTGGATCTTTGGAGACTTTGGTATTTCATATGCAGATGAAAGGGAATTGAGATCTACATTTTCTCCACATCACTGCATATTTTTGCCAGTGTCATGATTTAGGAGATCAGTAGAGTAACATAATTGTGGGTGATCTTTGTTTCCATAGGAATTGCATGCTGGTGAAAATCAGATTGAAATATTAAATGCAGAGAATCTGAAGCATCTGATTTCCCTTTCTGTGCTGGAACTCAGAGACAACAAGATAAAATCAGTTCCTGATGAAATTGCTCTGCTTCAGAAACTGGAGCGACTTGACCTCTCCAACAATGATATCAGTAGGTAATATTAAAAACTGCGTTGTGGCTGTGATGAGGCACAGCTAATGACATCTGATGATAGCTCATTCTGTAGCTCCTGCATTGCACTTTGTGATATGTAATTAAAAAAGGACTCGATCATAAAATGAAGGAGCCCTTTCTATGTTGTGTAATTTATTAATTATATGTTCTGTATCTCTTTACCTGAGCCTGAGCTTCAGAGTACCATGCCATCTGGCGAACCATTGCCAAATCCTTTTAGAAATTGTTTTGAGGCTGCTCTGAAATGAGATGTTTCCATTTGCAGGTTGCCTTACACACTGGGGAACCTTCCCCAGTTGAAATTCCTGGCATTAGACGGAAATCCTTTGAGGACCATTCGAAGAGACCTTCTGCAAGTAAGCAATAGAGGCAGCATGTAAAGTTTGGTGTTGTTGCTTACGTAAGTTATCCTGGTTGTGTAGCCAGAACATTAGAAACAGTCAGAATACATCCAGATGCCACATAGCCTTTGTAACTTTAATCTGCCTCTTATCTGTGCATATTGTGATTTGGGTGCTGTTTCCACTGGAGTCTGATGCAGTGCGTCAGACCATGAGGACGGGGGAGTAAAGGAGGTTGTTGCATTGTAGGACATGTTTCAGATTTGCCTCAGAAGTTGTAATATATATTGCAAATGAAGCAATGGATGTCTGGGAAAAGAGCGATAGTTCAGCTGTCTCCTGCCTAATCCTGCAGCAGTCACAGTTCCTTGCAATGCTATGTGAGTACTATACATCAGGCTTTTCCTAGAGGAGTGTGGATATCTGTTCATCTCCTACTCGCCTGATACAAGGCTCTATGATCCATCTCCAGAGTATATTCGATGGCAGATGCATTTTGGGCAATGACAGTCTGATGTACTACCTTTTGTTTAGGATAACCTGAACCTCAGACCTGTGTTCTTTGTGTAGGTAACCAGCAGAGTGAAGGCGTGAGATGTGCATGAGGAAACAAGTACATAGGGCAGGAGGGAGGCTGGAGCATAGGCACTGATGCTGCTGTAGAATTCCCTCTTTGCTCCCCAGTAGGCCTCTCTTCTCATAGGAGTTATATATGTTCCTGTGGTTTTACTGGTGTTATAAAGTAAAAGCTTACAAAGCTCTGTGATACTCTAAAAATAAGCAATACCGAAGACTGTTGAAAGGGAATTTTGTAGTATCTGTCAGAAGGGAGAAAACATTGTGTATCTGATTAACTGAGCACTGTATGCACTAAATTAAGGAGCAGGGCTCCAGTGGATGAAGTCATAGATGATTCCAGAGTTCAAAATTGGCTTAAAATGTACCTGCAAAGGAGTGTGAGTTAGGGTTCCTGGTTACTTAACTTCTGGTACCCTGGCTTCCAAGGGTTTACTGTCTTTGAAATATAGGAGCACGGATGTGTGTAACTTCCTGTGTGTATTTCAGATTTGTAGCAATGAGAGGTATGAGGATTCCATCACAGTGTTTTATACTTACACTGTCTTGATCCATTACCAACACTGTAATTTCATGTAACTGCAATTTTAAATGGTTAGTAGATTTTTTAAGTGGAGTATTTTGGAGAATTTTAAATGGAGTAGATTTTTTACACTTGATTTAGAGGAGTAATTGCTGAAGCTTGTGCAGTTCCACAAGCGCTTCTTAGAAGCAGGGAAATGCTGAGATTATGGATTGGCAGGGCCCGGGGGTAAGAACAGTCTAGCAGGCACCTGTTCTGCCCTTGTCCACCCCTGCTCCAGCTCATCAATCCCTGTTTCTCAGGCTTCTTGTTCTGGTCCCAAATTCATTCTTGTTTCTTGGTGAATTTCCAGTCAGTTTCTGTTAAATTCTGGTCTCTCCTTTTTGCATAACTTACCATCACCTAGCTGTTGAGCTGTGTTTTACCTGCTCTTCTCTCTGTGCAAGCCATGTAACTGTTACTCAACTTCCCCTTTGACCTTCACCTTTTCCTTAAAAGTTTCCTGGTTCTTCTATCCTGGCTTCCCTCTACTTGCTCAGTACATGCCTGCAGTCACTCCTGGTCTCCTAAGGCGTCTCTTTCTCAGTCTTTTATCTTCTGTTTCTGTCATCTCATCAGATTCCAGGTGAGAGTTCCTTCCTTTCCAGCTTCCACGTTTTCTTTGTTCCGTCTGCATTCAGATCAACCAGTCTCTTACTGTGTGTAACACATATGTCAGCTAGAATGAGATATGTTAATTTGTATTCAGCAGTTTAGTTCAGTCCCTGGTTATAAAGCATGTAAAATCAGAGGGAAAACCTAGCTTTATCCTAAACCAAATGGGCTAGATGAGGTTATACTTACTTACTAGTAGATTGTGCAGCCAGTAGCTGTGTTTGACCAGTAGAAGATGTTATGAGAGGACTGAAAGTCAAGTCTTTGGAGAGCTGAGCTGTTAAAAATCCATGCAAATGATGTCAGCTGTAGTGTTTTACCAATATATATCATTTTGGACATAAGAAGTTAGCAGAATACTGAACAATTAGCTTCCCTGACAAATCTACGTGTGTGCTCCAAAGCCCAATTACACCAGACCTTTTTAAAGGGAAGATTAAGTTCATTTGAACGTTTTTCCTTGCTCTTGGAAGTGCCTATCTGCTTCAGATACAGAGCTGAAACTGTGGAGCCTGAGGTCAGGCTGGAGTATGAAACCGAACTTGTAAATAAGCAAGTTCAAAGTTGCTGTGAAGAGGGATTTCCTGTGGGAAGCATTAGGTGGGTTTTAGTCGCCAGTGCTGTGGGCTCCACATGTGTCACTGGAATTGTCATTCCTCACTGTCAGAACGGATACATAGACACTGCCTGGCAAAGACTTTCCTGACTTCGTTTTTTTTCTCTATTTTGAAGAAAGGCACCCAGGAGCTTCTGAAATACCTGAGAAGCAAAATCCAAGGTATGTTGCTCTGTTGCATTGCATTTTGAAGGTATGTTGCTCTGTTGCATTGCATTTTGAAGAGAATCTGTGTAAGAAATGAAAATGAATTGGAACCTGTTGAGGGTGTCTGTTTAAATCCAAGTTTCTCCAGTTACCCTGCAATTACCCTGAGTTTTCTTTACTCAGCAGTTTGCTCTTATATTTCCATGCTGTTCCTTTTTCTTACTCTACTAGATAATACTGACTGACAGACATTGCTTGTTGAGGAGTATCATTTAGAAAAATAATGTTCAGTGTTTTCCCCCTGGTTCCTTTATGCATTTTACATGAGGAATTCCAGTAGCTTCTCTTATTTTGTCTCTGAACATGATGGCAAGTTTGCATAAGGCAAAACGACTGAGTTCACGTGTCATGTTAAATATCATATGGAAGGGATTATGCTGCACTTAGATGGCAAAGTATGCTTAACCTCTTAATTTAGAAAGGGCCTTGATAATTCATGCAAGCAGCCTTTATTGAAAATGGTATGTGGGAATTTTCCTTTTATTTCAGTGGGTTTTCTCTCCCTCTGCCAGAGGATGGCAGTATTAGTTAGGCTACTGCAGCATGTAAAATTGCTTCCAAACATCAGGTTCCATGCAAATGTGACATATTAACTTGACAAAAATTAATTGAATGCCAGAGTACATGCTCAGAAGCTTATCTGGTGAAGTACAGTAGATAATGTAATTGTGGGTAATAAAATTAGCTGATGTCCTGCTCAACAGCAATGCTTATGAGTTTATTCTGCATGCTGTGGCATCTAAGTTGGAGCTAGAACAGTAGGAGTGCTGTTTCTGTAAAGGTTTAAATGGGGAAAAAAACTTGGGTTTGACCCTTTTGACCTTCCCTAGTGAAAGGACAACTAGTTGTGGTTAAGGACAACTGTTGGTCGACTTCTATTAGTGACTGCTGCCGATTTTCAAGGAGTTTTGTTCAATTTCTTTTAGTGGAAGTTGGATTTATCACTGCTTTAGACTTTAAACTGAGCTTCACCCTGCTTACGCGTGTGAGGCCGCACCTCAGATGTGCAGAGCAGTGCTTTTAAACTGCATTTCTTAAGTGTTCCAAGTAGCCCTTGCAGCACCAAAGGCTTTTCTGTGTGATTGTAACAGAGGAGGGTGTGATGATGGTTTATAAATGTTAATGTTGTGGTCAGATTTGCTGTTCTGGAGACAATAGATCTAGATCATCATTTCTAGCCCAAATTCCCTGTTTGTTTCTAGCTCCCATTCCCATGGAGGCAGCTGCCTACACAAGTTCTTCACTAGTGTAGCATCTCCATTGCTCCCTATCTTTTAAAATTCACATCAACCCCTCTCCTCTCCCCTCCTAAAAACCCAACAAACCCAAACAAACCAGAAACCCAAGATTACAGAGAGCCTTTACTAGAGAATACTTGGAAATATTCTGAATCAGTTAATATCCAGTTGAGCAGGAACACAGGAAGAATTAAAAGGGGTGGTGGCAGGTGACTAGGGACACGAAACCTCCCTGTCTAGGATACCGCATCTGCTGGCAGCCTGCAGTCTGTGTGACTGTACATGTTTGTTACCTGTAGATGATGTAACCAGCTCAAATGAGGAGCCTCCTGTGACAGCCATGACGCTTCCAAGTGAGTCCAGGATTAACATGCACACCATAACCACATTGAAACTGTTGGAATACAGGTATGTGTGTTGAATACTGCCTATTTCTAAGGTTGTAAGAACACTTGTATTTTTTTCCCCTTTTTTTTAGTCCGTATGACATATATCAACTTGTGTGCAAATCCTGCTGCATTTGTGCAATTTTCACTTCAATGTGTGTGCTCAGGAATAGGTTTGAATTGCAGAGTTTTAATTATTTGTTTGTATTATCAAATATTCCACAGTAATATTCATTTTAAATCACTGAAACACTTCATACCTTCAGGTGCTTTTAGTACCTTTTAAACTTCCTTACCAATTTCCATTAAGTATCAGAACACCTTGTAGTACATGAGTTTCTCCAGTTAGTTCTTAAATGTAACCAACAACATGAGTTGTTAGGTTGGGAAGGGGGAAGAAACCCTGATATACTGAGAACTGCTGGGTGAAATGCAAAGTGCTGGTGAAGGCTGGGACGTGGCAGGGACCTTAGTGGTGAAAGGGCTGATGTGGCTTCGGTCACCACAAATGTTCAGGAGCCCCACAGTGAGTAGTTACCTGCTGTTGTGCTGGGGGTGTTTCCTTAGCTGAGAGGGGGAAACCTGTTTCATGCCAATCTTGCCATGCTTTCTGGCCCAACATGCAGCATCCGCAGGTGTGTTGAGGTAGTGACGTAGCTCAGCTCTTACTGACTTTTCTTAAGTATGGTAACAGATCAGTGCACCGATGTGAAATGATACTGTCACCCAGATGCCACATAACATGGCACAGTGGTTAGTAGCTTTCTGATTAACAGCTTTGCAAGAATTTTAAGTTGTAGATATTTCTTTATCTATTCTACTACTCATCTTCTGAAAGATTAAAATGTCTGGCTAATAAACAGGAAACGTTTGACTTGTGTTACTCAGCGAAATGCTTTCCATTGTTCAGTGAGAAACAGGCAGCTGTGATTCCTGATGAAATGTTCAATGCAGTCAGAAGCAATCCTGTCACCATGATCAACTTCAGCAAAAACCAGCTGAGTGAAGTTCCTCCAAGGTACTGTTGTGAAGGTTGTTCTCTCTATGTGGCTTTCTTTCTTACTTTTGTTCCTCAGCATCCTGTGATATTCCTCATCAGGTGTATTTACACTTCATGCTGTGCATTTGTTTGTGTACACACAGGCACACAAACAAAAGTGTAATTGAGATGCTGGATAATACACTCATGTTTCTAGTACGAGTAGCGTGCTGCGGGTCACTGATGGGCAGGAAGATGGCAGTAAAAAGAAGCTTGGTTCTACTCAGTGGTGCTTTCATTCCGTGTTGGTTTTCATCTTGCTTTGCTAAGGTGAATTGAGAGGGGTGGATGTGACTTCTCACAATAATGAAGTGCTGGTGCTTAACCACACTGGGGGATTGTTTTCTCTAGGGAGCATTTTTTTCCTATGTGAAGATAATCTGTGTGGATTCACCACTTCATTATCATAGAACCATAGAATGGTTTGGGTTGGAAGGGAACTTAATGCTCCTCCAGCTCCAACCCCTGCCACAGGCAGGGACACCTTCCACTAGAGCAGCTTGCTCCAAGCCCCTGTGTCCAACCTGGCCTTGAACACTGCCAGGGATGGGGCAGCCACAGCTTCTCTGGGCACCCTGTGCCAGCGCCTCAGCACCCTCCCAGGGAAGAGCTTTTGCCTAAAAGCTTATCTCAACCTCCCTTGTTTCAGTTTGAACCCATCACCCCTTGTCCTATTGTTACTATCTCTAATGAAGAGTCCCTTTCCAGAATCCTTGTAGCCCCCTTCAGACACTGGAAGCTGCTCTGAGGTGTCTACGCAGCTTCTCCAGGCTGAACCGTTCCAATGTTCTCAGCCTGTCTCGATATGGGAGGTGCTCCAGCCCCTGATCATTCTTGTGGTCTTCTCTGGACTTGCTCCAGCGGCCCATGTCCTTCTTCCATTGAGGACACCAGAAATGCAGATAGTGCTGCAAGTGGGGTTTGATTGGTCTTACTGGGCAATAACTGTACTGTACCTGGGGTTCTATTTAAATTCAGTTTCTTCAGGAAGTGTAATTGTTTGGTTGTTTTTTTTAAGGAAGCATGAACAGTTTCCATGCCTCTCCTTGTTAGGTTTGTGTCCCATCACACAGCATTTGATGTTACTGCACTTGTTATGTCATCACAGTCAGGGAAAAGGTTTCTCTTGGCACAAATGGGAATAAATAGCATTTTTGTTTATGGAGGAAGGTTACTTCATCTCTGGTGGCCCAAGAAAATCATGAAAACTTTTTTTAGGCTAGCAACACATTTGTGGGTGGAACTGATTTCCATTCTTGGACACAAGCGTGCTGCACATTTAACCTTTAGCACATAGAACTTGAAGAGATGCGATCTCTTTCTTATAGTTAAAACTCTTTTTTCAGTTCAATTTCTAGAATCAATTTAGTGAGGTGGTGCTTGTGCATCCCACACTTTTCCCTGTGCTGGAGGCTGTTGTGTTCACTGGGGTGGGTGTGGGTGTGCAGCTGCTGGGTGCCAGAGAATTCAGTGGCATCCAGGTGGGAGAGATGAGTATTTTCTCATTTAATTATCTTTTGGGTTTAGCGCTAAAGCAGAGGTTGTTACAGGGATTCAGCAGCTAACTTTTGGATCTGTTAAATACTGTACACCAAAGCATCTGAAAATACCTTTTTACAAGAAGCAGCAAATGCTGTTTCCTCGGATTTGTAATGGCAGAGGGGTGGAACAGAATGACCTAGGTGTTTTCTAAGGTCCCTTCCAACCCAAACCATTCTATGCTTCTAAAAGAACAATCTCCTTTTGTTTGACTGCTGAAGAGCATGGGTTAAAACACTTCCAGGGCAGCAGATGGCAGTGATGGTCATCTCTGCCATGGCTTCTGCAGTACCTCTCAGCTGCAATGAAGTGAGTAGTTTTTTGTAATAAAATTTGCTCTCTTTATCACTGAGAGAAAATTTACCATTCTGATAGCTTCAGATGAGCTCTGTCTTCACATCAGGTGAAGGCTCCAGGACAGGCAGCCTTCACAGGTGAAGTTTCCATTGTCTTTGCTCAGAATTGTTTCTGAAATGTCAGGAAGCACAGAGTGTCCTGGAGTTGTAGAATACCTCAGGGTTTTGTTTTCTTTTTGGTAACTTAGACAATAGAATGCAAACCTGATCTTACATAATAAAACATACTTATATTTGGTTTCAGGATTGTGGAGCTGAAAGACTCAGTTTGTGATGTCAGCCTGGCCTTCAATAAAATCTCCTCCATTTCCCCCGAGCTTTGCATGCTCCATAAATTGACACATTTGGATATCAGGTTTGTGACGTGTGTTGGACTTCCTTTCTGGGTAACTCATTTTCATGCCTGTTTAAACCACCATCTGTTATAGCAGTACTGAAATAATTCTTCATATCCCAAACTGCCTCCACGGCATTGGGTGCCTGGCAGATCAGAAGCAGCAAGTGGCCTAGATTTAGGCATCGGTTAAAGAAAACCGCACAACCCAAGTGGACAAGCTCTGAGCCTTGCTGTGATGAAAGGTCTTGCTTCAGTCATTGGAAGGTTCTCAGAGATGTGAAGCTGCTATTTAAAAACAGCCCCCACGACCCCACAAAAGAAACCCACACCAGGAAATCCTGGAGGGCAGCTGGGAAGTAGAACAGTGATGGTACAAAGCTTGTCATGCTGGCTGTGGGTACTTTGTTTGCAAGAGAGAGTTACTGTCATTTTACCTTCTAACTCCTGAGAAATGCTCACTGCATTTGTGCAGACACCAGGATTAGCTCATTGGTGTTTGTTTACCTTTGGTGTTTCACAAAGCACAGTTGCAGAGACAGGCATTTGCTTTGGCCTGATTTAATGTATCCTGCCTGTGCCTGGAGAGAGTGAGGGGCCACCAAGACAAAGGGACTGGAGCATCTGCTACAAGGAGAGTCTTAAGTCTCAGAATTTAGGTCTAAGTTTGGGCATCTTTTAGTGAGTGGTCTTTATTGTCCTGGAATGGCTCTTTATGTCAAACTCAGGACAGACCTTCTTTATCCTAACAAACCCCTTGTATTTAAGAAGCTTCCAAATGGCTTCCTGCTGTGGAAAACACCATGGTAACCATAGCCAGAAATTGCTACAGCATTTTTAAGTGGTTTAGTTATCCTGCTGCTTCACTTTGATACCAGGACCTGCACAGTTTCATCAACTGTCCTCTGAACCCCCAGAGCTGACTTTCCAGGCAGGTTTGTGGAGCTGTTTGTTAGATGCTTTGCAATACTTGGGAATATTTAGAGGATAGACTTTGCATCTCCTATGACAGGAATGGAAATGCAAACCTGGCTTGCATTAGCCAGGCATGGTCTTAACGCCTTTATGAAGCAGTTAATTGGTGTAAGACCCTATGGTGGCACTGATGAATACACACATTCTGTCTTGGTGGATTCTTAACTAAAACTTTGTAGAAGTTAGTGATTATTGTTTGTCCTTATTTGATACACAGAAATAATTTCTTGACATCTCTACCTGAGGCGATGGAGGCACTGACAAGACTGCAAATAATAAATCTTTCTTTCAATAGGTGAGAACTATTTATATGTTTTTTAATATAATAACCAAAATAAGTGGGCTGAATTGAATATGATTTTCCTGTGATGTGAGGGGGCACTTGATCAGTTGGCTGTGGGGTTAAAACTGATGCAGTGACTGTTTCTCTAAACAATGGATAGTGTAGTTTTGGAACTTTCTGCCGCATAAGTTTTGGACCTGGCTAAAAAAGGAATTAAAGAATCTTCTGATCAGTGCATCCCACCACAGACCTCAACTGGACTGCTCGCTGGCAGCCAGAGTACAGCAGGACCCTGGGATGGAGGAACAGGAGGGGAATGGGCTGCAGGAAGCAGATGAGTGGTGCCCTGGAGAGCATCTGCTCTCACTGCTGCTGCCCAGGCAGGGCTAGGCTGGAGCCCTCTGCCCCTGCCCCAGCAGGATGGAGGGATCTGTCTGTTCTCCTGGTGGTGGTACACCCCTGGGTCATGTTCTGTGGGACACACCAGCCCTACTCAGTGACCACGGTTGGCCTGTGACACCGTTATAGGTGCTGAGCTGCCACTGCACACATTTCGGTGACCTCTTTCTCTGTGTGCCAGCTAAGATAATGAATGCTGTCTCCATTCAGAGCAACCTTAACCATTTCCTTAAACAGCTAAAGCTTCAATGCTGTCTGATTTTAAAGGCTGCTAATATTTTTAATGCCCTACTTCTGTTTTTCATTGTTTTGCCGCCTTCTGCTTCTTGAAGACTTAAAGTATTTCCCAGTGTCCTTTATCGCATCCCAGCACTGGAGACGATCCTGCTGGCTAACAATCAGGTTGGGGCCATAGACCCTCTGCAGCTACAGAAGATGGACAAGCTGGGAACACTGGACCTTCAGAATAATGACCTGCTTCAGGTGCCACCAGAGCTTGGAAACTGTGAAACGCTGAGGTGTGTTCTGTAGGTGATGACATGGTTTAGGAAACAGGTTCTGACCCATTTGTTCAGGGCATGTGTTGTCAGAGGAAAAAGCACTGATTGGCAGTGTATTATTGTGTAGGTCTCAGTGCACAAAAAGGGTCTCTCTTATCACTTGTAAACCAGTGTAGTTGCTTCCATGTTTATTCAATTGGGGGGGGGGGGAGTGTCATGATTTTTATGACAATGGAAAGAGTGTGTTGGTCTGTGGAAATTTCATGTTAGAGCCTAAGCTGGTTATGTACAAACACACTGGCGGTGCACCTATAGACCAGCCAGGCAGGGAGCTGCTGTACTGTCAGCCTGTACGTTTAGCTCTGTGTATAACTTGGTGTAAGAGGCAGGATGATAGCCTCTGAATAACATATGATGAGTCATGACTCTGGATGTCCCTGCATAATACACCTCAAAGATGCCCGGTGTAAGCAGTCTGTCTTGTCAAAAACAACACATTCCTGGTCCTTGGGGTCTCCCTCTGTAAGGACACTGTCCCGAGAGACTTCAGGTACGTCTCAAGGGAGACCTTATAGCAGCTCCCAGTGCTTAAAGGAACCAACAAGAAAGCTGGAGAGGGACTTTGGACAAAGGGCCTGTAGGGACAGGACAAGGGGAATGGCTTCAACCTGCCCGAGGGGAGTTTGAGATGATTAGTGTGAACAAGGGAAGCAGGAATTAAAATTCTTCTTACAGAAGAGGAATGAAGAATTTCAGATCCGTGTGGAGTGTGTGACCGTGTTGGTACAAGCAGTAGCTGGGTTTCCCTCTGTCGTTCCAGGACACTCCTGCTGGAGGGCAATCCTTTCCGCACGCCACGGGCAGCCATCCTGGCCAAAGGAACGGCCGCCGTGCTGGAGTACCTGCGGAGCCGCATTCCCACCTGATGCACCAGCACAGGCCCTGGCCAGCCTGGGCCATCCCAGTGCAAGTGAAGCACTGCCCTATCCGACCCCAAATGCCGTGGGGTTTTCCTGCCTTCTTCCTCCTCCGTCAGCTCCCTGTTACCCTGCCTGTGCTGGGAAGCGTTTGTAGCAGGAGCTGTCTATGAACTGTTTTCTCCTCGAGCTGCATGTTTCAGGAGTGCATTTTAAAGTACTGCACCACACGTTTACACTTTTTGTGATAAAGGATGCCACTGCGAGCTGCCTTCAGTAATGTGACAATTTTTTTCTACAATCAAGCTGATTTTTAAATGGAATTGTCAACATCAAAGTAGTTGAACAAAAGCCAGAAGTAACCACTTTGCTTTTGTATGCCTGTTTTATAACCTCCCCCAAGGTATTTACTCTCTCTCTCCACTGCTGCCTCAGTGGTGAGTCTGTATGTGATAAAGGGCTTCAGCCCTGCAGCCGTGCAATGAGCTGTGCAATGTATGAGGTGTGCTGTGAGCTGTGTGTGTCACACCTGAACATAGACAGACTGTGGTCAAAGGTGGTAGCTGCACTGAACAATAAACACTCCCTGGTGGCTGTTTGGTTTGGTTGAATTTGACCTTAGAAGCTGTGTAGCTGGTAATGTTCAGATACTTTCATTTTCTGTTTAAATGTGCTTCCATGTCCTGGAAGCAATACCTTTAGTGGGATGTTAGTAATGGCAGTGGGAGGGCTGCTTGTTCTGGGACAGCAGATCCATTGCTTCTCCATCGGGCAGCTCCAGGTGGATGAAGGGGAAGAGGCAGCAGGTACCGGAAGGGCTGGGTTGTTTCTCAGGCTGAGCTCACCAAGGGGGAACAGCCGCCTGTCCCATGGCTGTGTTGTCCTGTGTCAGGTGTAGATGCCAAGGTACACTTGAGCAGCATCACCTCTGTCTTCCCAGTACTGCCCTGTGTTTAATGCTGTCCCTATGGATGACTACTACTTCTAACTGCAAGCTGCTGACTTCTGTGCAATGAAGAACAAGTGCTAAGCTTTAGAAGCAGAAGTACACCTCACTTCTCTCTTTAGCTGTATGAAGGCTGAAGGGCTGATGTGGAATGGAGATCCTGTCTGTGGTACGTGTTTATAAGGGAAAAATGCAGGTTATGGAAGCATTTTCCTTTCTCCACCCAACCTCTCTATAATGGCAGAATTAATGTGATTCAGCATTAAACTTTACAGGTTTTGGATATGTTCAGAGGTAACATAAAATACAGTGACCTGATCCTCAGGTTTAACAGCACCTCTCAGTGAGAGAGGGGGTCTGATGTACCTTGTGCACGGCTACACCGACGGTGGCTGGTGGAGATGGACCAGATCAGGCCAGCATGGCTGGAGCCAGAGACCTGCAGCAGGTACTGACCTACTCCAGAAGGCGAGGGGCTGGGAACAGCTGCAGAGAGTAAACAGGAAGGAGTTTCCTGTGAGAAATACCCACTAGTGTTTGTTGAGTGCAGAAGGAATGATGGTGGGTTTGAGCTCAGACATGTCAGGAGATACTCTCTGGTTACCTGGGGGATGGAACTGCTGCTGCTCTCCCACCTTCACTCCTCTCTTGTTCTCCCATCTCTCCTACAGCATTTGTATCTACAGAGCAGTGAATGCTGAGCTGTTCCACACACACGTGCAGCCGCCCCCTCTTCATATCTGATGTCTCACCGGCAGCTATGACTGACCGAGGGGAGCTGCTCCATTTCCAAGGCTCTGGTAATTGCAGAGTCTCTCCCTCAGCCTCCACTCGGTTTGCTGGTGGATGAGGCTGAGGGAGAAGGCACGGGGCTGCCATGGGATGGGTCACCACCAGACAGCTCGCTCCCAACAGCCTTCTCTGAGAGCCCAGCTCCCTTCCAGCAGTAAAAGATGACAAACTTAATTACAATAAGGTGACATTTTTATTATTTATACAATAAAGAGACTTTTTAATGTTATTCAAAACACTTCTTTAAATACTGAAAAAGTTGGGTACACCAAAGCCGAAAAATGGCTCTGCTATACACTGCACAGCATTGGTTTAGTCCCTGTAGTTGTTCTATGTACAGCAGCATCTGCAAAATGCAATCGAAACACAATATGCACCTTACGGGGGGTGTCATACATGGAGGGGGGGACGGGGTGGATACAACCGGCGTGTGCAAATTAACCCACCAGAGAAGTGATTGCACTGATCAAGAGAGTTAAAATAGAGTTCTGAAGTACCTTTTTGCACATAAAATGAAGCAGCTTTTCAAGTTCAGTAAGTCTTTATACTGCAAAAAACATTAAGTACATTCACAATCTATGTTAGTAAAGTAGTAAATATTTCTTCATTCAGCCTTATTTACATTAATACTGTAATTAAACTGAAAAGTACAGTTAGTCATTTGTAATATAGCAATCTTTGAACACATACAAAAATGACCATTTTCTGTATATAATTTAAGCTCAAAATCACAATTATCTCAAAATATTAATTACAATACAGCCATCTCCATCATAATTAAACATGTCTTTTATAAAATGGTAAAATCTTTAACAAAGTAAGCTGTTGGCTACAGTACTCACAAGTAGAAAACTGAACCGATGGGAGCGTCTGCTCTGCAGGGGGGGCGAAGCTGCCTGCACCAGCCCAGCGGCTGCGGGGCCCCGGGGGGACACTGGGGACCCCTTGTGTGCCACGGGGCTGGGGCTGGGCAGTGGGAATGCTGAACGCAATGCAATGGTGGCACTTGCTTCCAGCCCACTCGCTGGAACTGCCCGGGGAGAGGATTGGCAAAAAAGCTTTCTTTTTAAACCCTTTTTTAATGGTTTTAATAGAAACTGCTCCTGACATTTGCTTTTCCTGCTGCTGCCACCCACCTGTGCCCCAGCCTGGCCTCTGGGAGCCGCATGGCTTGTGCCCACCATCACCAAACGTGTTCAAACCAAAACCAAACCAAACCATCAGTTAATCCGTATCCTATCCAAACTACTGGCCTGAAAGTTGTATCATCGTGTTGTATTCACACTGGGAATAAAGCCTCAAATCCGACTGCCTGGAAATGGAATCATATTGTCTTTGTGCGCTCGCTTGAAGTTCAGGTTCTGATGGGAGAAGACCGGGGAAGAGCACTGGGGTGGGATGTGGAGGTGGAAGGGAGCTCAGCTGCAGGGAACGCTTCATTTTTGGCAATCCTAGTGTGGAATCCAGCAGCCTCAGCCCCCGCAGCCCCCAACCTGCGCCTCTGGGGCTCTGGGGAGATGGGTACTCATGTCAAATCCTGGTTCTGCTTTTACAGGGCTCACCGGTGGTGGGATGGGGAGCACTGTGGTGGAACACAGCACCCCACATCAGCCCAGCCTGCAAGAGCCCGGCTCCAACCCCGCTCCATTAGAGGTCGGTCCACCCGATAAATATCCCCAACAGCCCCTTGTTCAGGCACTGACCCCACTCCTCTGGAGAGCAGAGCCTGCTCCTGAGCAGGCCAAAATGCCTGGGGTTCCATTTAACACTGACTTTGCATTTACTGTTGCATATATCTCCATCAGATATATACATATATACATCCATAGCTATAAATCAGCGCTTTTGAGTTGCTCAAGGTAACTAAGTGCTATATTACAAGCCAGAGAGCTTTAACCAGGGAAAGGCTTTACATTCCAAGTGCTGACTAGCAACAGCAAACCAATCTCCTGAACATTTCATACTAATTTCAGTTGGAGTTTTTGCTCCTGCGGGTTAGTGGTGGTCTGTAACATCAGTGACTGCACTTTTCAGGTGTCCAGGGCTTCTCATTCCTGCTCAGATAAAGACCACACCGAGAAAACCTGAGCCAGCTTCCAGGCTGAGCATCCCTAGTGCAGCCCTGGAATGGCTGATTGCTGTCCTGGGTGCACTGTGTGCCCAGCACCGGGAACGTGGCCCTCAGCTTTACTCTCAGCTGCCCCCTGCACCTCAGCTTTGTCCCTCCTCCACCAGGTACCTGCACCAGGACGCTGCCGGGCGCTGTGTCGCTGGCTGGCAGAGCCTGTCCTCACCTCGGGAGCTGGCGCAGTGCCGTGAAACACCGATACAGACATGGACGTGCTAAAAAATACCTTGGAAAACCCCCAAACCAATCTGAAGATGTTAAATGATCACTATTATGAACAACTGGCTTCTAAGTATGACAGTTCATCAATGCCCGGGTAAAAACTGCAAGCTGGGAATGGGAAAACAGGTAAATTAAGACTGGAGAGTCCTGTGGGCTTTTCATGGTCTGAGCTTCCCCTTTGTCTCAAAATAAGCAGCTTTTTTTTTTCCTTTTCCTCTTTTCTTCCTTTCTTCTTTCCCCTTAGAAGCTGCCTTCCAACAAGGCAGCAGAAAAGTAAAGGCTTTCCTGCCAGTCTGTGCTGGGCCCCACTGTGTGTTATGGGGAGGAACCGGAGCGGTGGCACCGACCACTGAACTCCTTAAAACCTGTTGTAAAATGAGCATATGGGAATAACCTTGCAGGCTTCCTTCTGTAAGCTAGCCCTTCCCTGAGGATCATTAGTTAAATAAGTGTTTATTGCATGGAAAAATCTAAAAAGCACAAAGCAGGGGAAGCATCTGCCTCTTGTGGCCGTGCTTGCCTGGGTCTGAATCCATTCACACGCACAGAAGTGAACCCACACATGGAATTCACCTCAGGGGGAGTGTCACTGCCTCCACGCTTGCCATATAATCACATTTAGTAAATAAAATAACATAAAATATCATCATCATGTGCAAAGCACACACATAACCTGGTACCTGACCTGCAAACGGGGCTGCAGGTGATCGTGGCTGGGATGTTACAGGAGACCTGCCAGGGAAGACAAGAGGTGCAGGCTGTATTTTGAAGGCTCATTGGAAAGCTCCTAAGTAGTCCATTAAGTAATGTTGATTGCTCACAATACTACTGCTAGCTAAACAGTTCAGCCCATCCGAATAGAAATAATGCCAGCAAGAATGCATTTGGTATTTTGGGGCAGTAGGGTTGGTGTTAAAGCTTCACTATGGTATGTTTGAGAGTCCAAACGTCCCCCAGCCACCCTCATGAGCTGGTGGCAGGTTGGACCAAGTTAGGGACCGGAACATGACATTCCACTGCACTAACCTGGCTTCGTTGTATTTCATTATAACCCATTAAGGAAAGCACTTAGCAGCCCTGGAACACGGACCTGCACACAGCCTGACTGGTGATGCCAACCGTGCTTTGGGTCTGATGAACTTGGTGTGCAGGAAGACAACGGAGCACAAACTGGCACCAACAAGTGGC